GCACACAAATATTTTTTTTTGTTTAACGGGGATTTCATTTGGGTTTCATAATAAAAAAAAACATTTTTAAATTAATTTTTTTTTTTTTTTTTTAACAACCCCCCCCCCCCCCCCCCCCCCCTTCTTAAAATAGCGAGTGACAGACAGAAGCGAATACACATACCACAGAAGTCACGATAACAAACACAGCAGCAACGGAATTAAGCGCCCAACCGCCCTTCCCGAGCACGAAGTACGTGTTTTCAGCTTGGTACTGGCGCAAAACGCCGCGGCCGCGTATTAATAGCACGACGACGGGGATCACGTACGACACGTTGAGGAAGATGGTCGTGCTAGCCGCGTATGCGCTAAAGGCTACCGACGGTCCTAGATACAAGAGCCCGAAGAGTACGTTGAATGCGAAGGTCAAGACGATGGTGCGGACTGGGACGTCGAGTTTGGGGGTGATGTGTGCGAAGCTGGTGGTGTTAGCAGAGAGTGCACAATATAGGGAGAAGGGTAAAGATACTGGAAGCAAGAAGAAGGAAAGGAAAGGAGAAGCCTACTAGTTATGATATGCAATGCCCTTATCCCTCGCCATAGCATACAACAGCCTACTCGAACTAGTCACGCATCCATTCGTCCCATTTATAAAACACACAGCCAGCATCAGCGTCAACACCGTAGCCGCGGCTCGACTTCCCGTGCCCTGGAGGATCAACTCGGAGATGGGCATGTTAGTCGGCGTGTTAAGAACGGTATCGGGATCCGTAATGCAGAACAGAATAACAAGTATAAACGCGACGCCCGTCACGCCCCCCACGACAACCGCGTAGATGATGGCCCGCGGCGCATCCACCGCCGGCCGCGGCATCTCCTCCGTCATGTGCAGCGCGGCGTCGAAGCCGATGAGCGACAGCGCGCTCTGCAGCAGGCCCAGGATCCACGCCATGCCGTCGGACCAGCCCGTCTCGTTCCGGAACTCAGCAAAGACGAATCCGGCGTCGTTCTTCTCGGAGGTGGTTAGCAGGACTATGCTGATGACGACCACGCCCAGCAGCGACCAGTACAGCGCCGCGTCGTTCCAGCGCCCGAGGATTCGGTTCCCCCAGATGTTGGCGCCGGTCGTGAAGGTTAGGATCGCGAGGAAGATTAGGTATGTGCGCCATTCTTCGATCGCGTAGGCGCCGTTGGAGGCGATGACTGCGGCGGCGGAGATGAATTGCGCTGTGCGCGGTGTAATACATATCATGTCAGCTTTCCGTTTTGCTTTATAGTATAGACACTACGGTAAGGAATAAAGAGAAGTCTTACCAGCGAAGAAGCCCTCAGTCGTCACAAGCGTAAGCCAGCCCGCGATATTCGTCCAGCCAACCCAGAAGCTCTAGTTATGCGTTACAAGTCAGCCTCCCCGTTCCTATTTATTCATTATTCTTTCTCCGCCGAGTCTCCAGAGCCCAAAGTAAAGTAAACCCACCATAGACTTCTTCCACTTATCCGTGCACAGCGCATAGACAAAATGGTACTGGCCGCCCGCCGTGGGCCATATCGCAGCCAGTTCGCCGAGGCTCGCGGCGAGGGCGAGGTTACACAGGACGCAGAATATGAAGCCGTAGAGGAACGAGACGGAGCCCCCCGAGGGTAGAACGAGGCCAATTGATCCCGCCAGCGCGATCCATGTACTGTTATAACGGCGAGCGCTACGATTAGTCGCCTGCCACTCGTGTTATTGTTGTCCCGGGGAACCGGGTATTGGACCGACTCACTTAAGGATAGCGAACGTCAAAGCAACCATCGTCAGCCTCGACAACCGCGGTTGCAGGCGGCCCTCCTCGGGAGGCAGGGGCTCGTTTTGGATAGACATAATCGAGTCGAGTCGAGCTGAGCCGAGGTATCTATCTATCAATCGTTGTGCGACGTTTCTCTACGACGAGCTAAGGAAAGGATAGGGATCATTGAGAAGAGTCGGGACAGACGGACGTAAGGGCAGAGAGTAAGCAGATGACGTTCCTTTAAATATTCCGTACAGTTCTTATTATTTAAGATCGTCGACATTGCCTTATATTACATACACTTGTGATACCACTTACACGAAAACTAACGGCCAACCAAACAGCCAAACAACCAACCAACTAACTAACACGGATATATCCGTATGAGGTACGCAGTGGTAGCAATGCATATCTTCAATGGAATCCCAGCAAGCCACCTTACCGGGTAGCTACCTAGCTCGCAAGTAGGTATGTTTGCTATCTCTGAACCGTTGGACCTTGCTCCATCCAACAAGCTCACGTAATAATGGCTACCTACCTACCTACCTACCTATCTATCTCCCAGATCCCAAACCGGCAGCCTGTTCTGCAGCAGCGCCAATCACACGTCCCAGCCCCCGGGCAGCTTATCATTGGCCTGGGCCTGGAAGGGGAGGGGGGGTTTCACAGGAAAACCGTTGTGGTGTGTCCTCTCTCAGATATGACTCGATATTCACCGCTCCTTTTTTTTTCGCCTCCCGCTGCAGAAAAATGCAAAGCTATTGTGACACTGCGTCTGCCGACAGGCGGGACGAGGCTGCTTATCGTCATGTAGGTCTAGATGTAGGTATAAGGGAAATATTGATGTGGTAGACGTATGTAGGTATATAAATCCATAATGTTTCCCAAATCACCCATTTTCCAGCTTCCCATCCCCCCGTTCATCCATCCATCCATATTTTCCCCGTCTCTCCGAGCTTACCGCCGCACGTACGCATGCCGTCCAGGTAGTTAATTATTCCCACGTATTATGTATTATTAACCTTCAGCTCAGACAAAGACCAAAACCCGGCTCAGCCAAGCCAAGCCAGGGTCCGTCCTGTCAGAACCTTGTTAAATCCCGATCACGGACACGTTGTCTAGGTAGTGTAGTGAGTGTCTCTATCTATCTATCGCCCGGTTGGAAGCGGGCGGAAACCGTGCCCCGATTTGCAGATGATGATGACAGCGATAGATTAGGGACGCAGCATAAGCATTTCTGGTCCGGATAATTCGAGCTACATATTCCATATTACAACCGCGTGTGCCTTAGGTTACACGTGTATTCCAGAACCATGGGTATGCTGTCAGAGGAATCGGGAGCCCCAAATCTACGAAGAAGATGACAGGTCTTAGTGCTTATTTCCGTGAGTGTTGAAGATTAAAAGTATATCCGTATTATTCGGGGAATAGCAAAGTATTATTATTATTAAGAAGTTATATCTGGTAGTTATAGTTATCAAACATCCCATGCTCGCGGTATATTACCGGTGACAAATAGTAGGACGTCGCTAAGAGAAGGGAAAATCGTCCCGTCTTGTAGACTAAACTTAGTTGAGCCGAGTGTTGGTCGACGCTCGAGCGCCCGTTCCCGTTTTCGTGCCGCATTGGCATCGAGGCTTTCCCGGTTCTGGACGAGGGACCCACGCGGAAGCTGGGTTTGAAGAGCCGCTAGTTGATCGTAGAAGAAGCTTGGAAGGACTCTGCGATCGCTGATACAGAGAAGGATGAATATCTCACGGTCGTATATCGACGAAGGATTCGGTTGAGCTTGTAATAGCACTCTTATAAGGGCCGACTTAATAGAGGTGAGGTGTTTGGATACCTTAGGTACCGAGGTATTTGCTACGACCGCGCCTTGTGGCAGAACTTATAAAGTAATATAATGTAATACATAATGCTACTGCACTGAGGGGTTACGCACCGGCTGCAAGCTGGAGATGCGGTGCAAGGTAATGAGGTCGTGGACCTGCGGCACAAGATGCATGAGTGTCAGGAGGTCCACCAAGCCACCAAACGCTGAAAGCTCCAATATAGCCAATGATCGGACCCGGCTTGTTACGTGACGCGGCCGTAGGGGTCCAGAATAGGACCATGAGGTAGCAATAGAAGCCGTAGGGATTCGGGATTCTAGCATGAACTGAGCTGTTTCTGGGGTTTGATTGCTGACTGCAGACACCGTATCTCCCCGCACTGCAGTGAGACGTTTCTGCAGGCAGGATAGACGACAATATATAAAGTCCAAGCATATGATCGTCAGTCAATAGCTTGCTCCGACGTTGAGCTCCTCTCCATCGTCTCCGAAACTTCCACCTAAGCTATACCCTTCAGTTCGATAATGTCTACTACTGTTCGCGTCGGTGCCGTCCAGGCTGAACCAGTATGGCTTGACCTTAATGGGGCCGTCGACAAGACTATCTCCCTCATCGAGGAGGCTGCAGCAGATGGCGTCCAGGTGCTTGGCTTCCCCGAAGTCTGGATTCCTGGATACCCGTGGTAAGTTCGGTCAAAGATTTCCACAAGATTGCAACACTAACGTCGACTTGTTTGCCTCAACCTAGGTCCATGTGGACATCGAGCGTCATCGAGAACACCCACATCATCCACGAATACATGGCAAACTCGATGCCCCGAGACTCAGACCATATGAGACGCATCCTTGCCGCTATAAAGAAGGCGGGGATGTTCGTGGTCCTTGGATATAGCGAGAGGGAGGGTGGTAGTCTCTACATGGCCCAATCCTTTATTTCGCCAGAAGGTGAGATAGTCCACCACCGACGAAAGATAAAGCCCACGCACATAGAGCGAACTATCTGGGGTGAAGGCCAAGCCGAATCGCTTAAGTGTGTGGTGCCATCTAAGTTTGGTAATATTGGTGGCTTGAATTGTTGGGAACACTTACAACCTTTGCTTCGTTACTACGAATACTCGCAAGGGGTTCAAATACATGTTGCAAGGTGAGTCTTAAAACTTCCTTTAGCTTCGTCCCTAAAAAAAAAAAAAAAAAATCCAAAAAAAAAACACCCCCCTAAAAAACCCGGCTGATTTGAATATCAAGTTGGCCTGCAGAATTTGAAATGCCGGATCCCTCCAAAATTGCTTGGCTATATCATGAGACGGGAGAGGCAAGCTACCGAGCGAGCCAGTTCATGGCTATAGAGGGGCAGTGCTTCGTCCTCGTCGCATCACAAATCCTAACCGAGAAGAACCTGGAAAAAAACAACCTTTCCGGCAACCCAGTAACCAAGACGGTAAGAACCTCGCTTTCCGTTACTCCATAAACTACTAACATAACTCCTTCCCAGCCCGGCGGTGGCTTTTCCATGATTTTTGGTCCCGACGGCAAGCCGCTCTGTGAACCCATCGGCGCTGGAGAAGAGGGTATCCTCAAGGCGGATATTAATTTGAGGGATATCGATTATCCCAAGGCCTTCATCGATGTCGTCGGTCATTACGCCAGGCCGGACCTACTAAGCTTGCTGGTAAATCCCACCCAAGACTTACATGTGACGAAGATGTCTAAAGAGGGGCGGCCCTAAATAGGTCGCCAAGATTGTTCGTGAGAAATTAAAAGGGGGTATAATGGTAGCGGTGATGATGATAATGATGATGACGTGACGGCGATGGGGAGGAGTGTGACCGATGATGCCGTTTTCAGATACACCAAGGTGCAGCGATATCTAAGTTGACAACGTTCCACCATTTAGTATTAGAGACGCGGCCGCTGTCGGCCTGGAGATCCTGCTGTTTCCAGTATGACTCGATTATATCACGTAGAACGAACACATTTCCAATGTGCCGTTCGTTATCCATTTTATCGAGTGTCTGGAGGATCCTTATTCTCTGTTGATCATCTTCAGTCTCGCAAGCAATGACAAAAAGCGGCCATGGGCTCGTGCAGACATCGAGGCGCTTTAATGCAGCAAACGCGTACTCTAGGTACGCTGACCTAAGCTCTTGATTATGCGTGCATTCGGCTGTTCTTTGCAAGTAAAGCAATGCCGCAATGCGATAGAGCTCGGCAGTCGTTAGGATCCGAGACCTCTCTGCCGGTGGTATACGGCTCGCATCGAGGGGGTCTAGGTGCTGTTCAAGAGTCGTTATTCGGCTCTCGATTTCACGCCATTCGTCAGCCCTCCGAGCACGTTCTTCCGGGCTAAACTCTAGGGACGCGCCCCGAAGCTCGAGAGCACGCAGCCCATTCACGTAGCTGATGATTTCCATGACCTCTACGGAACATCCGAGCGATCCTATGATCTATGGGCTGTCAGTGGTAATTATCTTTGATTAGTAGGTCTGAGGGGAAGAATACCAAAGACTTATCAAAGTCCGTATCGTCTAGAAGCTGCAGAGATGCCGGACATCTCCCGTACTGAAGTGGTTGGCTGAAACCACCCAAAATTTCGTGGTAAAGGAACCACGTGTATAAGAAGCCGTACTTTAACTGCCCACCATGGATACTGGCGAGCTTCTGAAGAATAGTTTGGGCTCCGCGGAGGTGTAGGTTCCAATTGCCTTCGGTCTCGTCGAAGACCTTATATCATATTAGCATAACCATGCGTGCAAAATGATCAGGCAGGTCCCTACATTGTAAACACAGAGCATCATTGACGTAGCTAGCTGCGTCTCGGTTATACCAATAGACTCGCTCGATAGGGAGGAAGATAGGGATCGAAGGGCGTCGGCTTTGTAGGAGAGAGCTTCCTCCGGACCCCAGAGGTGAAAAGCGGATACAGCGAGCATGGCATTTCGAAGACCGTTAGAGGCATTGCCAAGGTTTGAGAGTGCCATAGGTAGCAAATCATCGCGGAATCCATTGTTGATGTCAATTGTGGATATCATCTGAGACAACTTGTTCTGATCTGATATATAGTAAGCGTCAGTAAGCTTTCAAGGTGGAACTCATCCGAGATGTCGTGGGCCCGCTCTTACAGTAGTTAATAAGATGGGACTCCCTTTCGTGAAGATTTGTGAATAAAGGGAGGCTTCGTCCTGGCCGCGGCTGAGCACGAAAGATGGACAGGCAAATAGGCGAGATGCCTTTCCTAGAAAGAGCCAAGTCTGAGTAAGTTACATTTAGAAATTGTTTTCCATAATACTTGGGATCGATTTCGTGATGGTGGATTGTGTGATCCGGAAGGCGAGTTAGTCTGCGTCTACCGTCGGGCTGATCTGGCCACGCGAGACGGATGCCGTAGCCTAAACATTCTCTCCCGGTGCGAAGGCAGTTGTTACAGGCTGGATAGCCGCGGTCACATCCGATCTTACGTCCTTCCGAAATGTTTAGTAAGTGTCGCGATTGCTGCTGATGTTATACCCAAAAACTTACGTTTGCAAGTCCAGCATCCCTGCGCTCGTCTAACAGTCTCCATCCTTCGGCGTGCTAAGTCGGAATTTGTACGCCTTAAGTCTTTAGCTTGAGACCTTGCCGACGGCTTCTGAGCCTTGCATATTCAAAACGGGTTTTGGACTTCTTTTACGGTGGCGAGGCTGGGAAAAGCAGCCCGGCGGCGCAGATGCGGAGGCAGAAGGGGGTATATTATCCACTCTGGTCCGATAACAGAAGGGATAGTCTACTCAGGTTATCTAATTCTCGAATCTGCCATCATACGACGCATTGTAACGATTGAAATGTATGGTTTAACCAAGCTGGGTAACTTTGTCGATAGGATGGTCCCCGGGTGCTTGATACAAGGGATTGATACAAGGGATGTACGTTGGCTCTCGAACTTGGTTCCAGCGATATCGTGCAATTAAGAAGTGTCAGGATCTCCGCAATTCCGTATCAACCAATTAGAGGACGCCTTTGCTGCACAGGGATTGGTACCAGTCAAATCCCGAGTGACCGGATGAGACCCCGACCAACTGTCACCCAAACAAAACATTCGAGACGTCGAGATGCATGCTAGCAAAAAATGCCAAATTTTTAAAGAGAACCCCCCTAAAAAATCGAATCTAACCAGCTTGTGGTAGGGGTAGAAGTAATATTGACAGGTAGTCGGCGAAGAGACCAGCTATCGGTAGTTCGGCGACCAGGAACTGTACGATTTCTCGATGCTGAAAGCTTCGCTAAGCAGTCATGCTGACGGAATCTCTGCGATACTTGTCACTTGTCTTTGCTTATACGTCATGCTATGCCGCTGTAACAGGCCAGGATAAAAGGTTCAAATCCCATAGATCCCTTGTTCCCGAGTTCGTTATAAGCAGCAACACCTTTGTACGACTCGAGCTTCTCATACGAAGACAAGAAGATTTCGGGTAGAGAATTCCCACCATAGCGCTCCGGACCTTTGTGACAGCACACACCCCTCTTGGCAATGTTCGATCGGATGCTCGATCGGTTACTCGACAATATCGGTGCATTGGTGCATTGGTGCAATGGTGCCTGTATATGTATGTATGAATACCAAGCTCGTGAGACGGCGGGTAATGCCGGAATTAAGCAATTCACAAGATAGACAAGATAGAACGAGGATAAGAAAGAGATCAGATGATGGGGGGGGTTATCGACATGTCAGGGGTTCCCCACGGGAGCATCGCTTGGTACACAACAAGGCTTCCTATTGGGTTGACAACACCTTTAAGTGCCCTTTAAGTCCAGACGGCTGACAGAATCAGGCCTGTCAGGTCTCGATATGGCAAGCCCGTAAGCCCGCGGAACGCACCGTTATGCAACATGTGAATCTAGGTCGGCCCTGAGCCAGAATGTTGGGATTTATTTAAGTGAGTAGGTAGGTAGGTACCTAAATTGTATCGAGCTACCACGCGAAGAGTTGACTTGCATGTCAATTGACTTACATGTAAGATGTAAGATGTACTTACATGATGTACATCGATGTAAGATGGATGAACTTTTACTCGCTGATGAGCGAAGTGGCTAAAGAGATGAGGCTGGTGGTTTCAGAAGACGGCAACTTACATTCCAGTGTAATGACATGACGTTTTTGTGGCTGATAACTTTGAAAGTCAATTGTTGGTCGGTCTTGCTTACCTAAACGAATCACTCCCCCTGGCAGCACATGGACAATTGAGGAAACGGCCGAGGTTCAATTAACACGTGCAATAACCGAGCAACAGCGTCATCAACCTTACATAC